TACTAGTATATAGGAATACCATATATATATATATATTCATGGACAAATCTCTAATAAAAAATACTTCATTAAAAATTCTGAGTTTTTGTGTAATGAATACTAAAAGTCTGCAAAATTTTGTGAAGCTACTCAAAGTGTATTAAAGTTATAGTATGGAAACTATAACAAGTACAAAGTGGTTACGAAGTTGGTCTAATCAACCAATTTTGTTACTCTCTGTGAAAGATGTCCATGACCTGATTTTGGGCGATATGGAGTCCTTCATGTGGCCTGTGGGTATTTCCCTGAGAGGTGCTGATTTGAATTTTCATTCTGAAACAGCATATTCTGGGGAGAATTTAGACTCACTGTTTCCTGATCCTTCTTTCACTAAAGCTTCCTCTCTTAGACCCTCTTATTAACACTGTCAGGTCTTATGTTGTTCATGCAGGGGGTCTACTACATCTTCGTAAATCTGAACGAGACGCGGTGGGAGAGTGTTGCACATCCTCTCCATAATTCCATGGGTAAGCAGATTTCTCCTTGCTCACTTGGTGGGGGAGTAAAAACAACTGTTTGTAAATCCAGACTGGATGAGTTCTGGACTTTGGTGGAGTATGGCGTATGATCCCCCACTGACACTAATAGCTAGAATCCCATACTGAGAAGGCAGAGAGGCCGGTGAGGACAGAGATTATACAGAAAGCATCTGAGGAGAACAAATATGTACCATAAGAAGTGATATCAAAGTGGGGAACACTGCACTACATCCAGAACAGATATGCTCTTCACCCAGAATTACAGAAAATTGAAAAGGGGTGGAATATAATACAAGTAATGGTCCAGCCCCGACCAAACAGCCACAGTTCCACAACTTGGGTTGGATTTAAGGGGTCATGGTACCCATATCCCACATTGGTGGTCAGAGTATTTGGACTGCAGATATATCTTTGTGCGATAGGATCCCTACTAGTAACCACAAAATGATGCATTTCGAATCACTGGACTTATGAAAGAAAGAAAGCAACACCAAAGTGGACAATCCTACTGATCAACCTGAAGAAGTCCAAAAGCCAACACCCAGGTCTGGATTGACAGGTATGTATGTTTTGGAAGTTATCATTTTCCTAAACTGGAAATGTATTTCCAAACGTACTTACCTTCACTGACACTCTCCCTCCCTTCATCCCCACTAAGAGCCAGTGTTAATGACCGGAATGAGGTGAGTCGTGAAAAAGTGATTTTATATTCTGCATACAAGGTTAATATACAGTATCTGCATAGAGGGTGTGTGAGGACCAGCATAAAGTTTTGCAAATTAGATATTGCTGAGGGCAGTCAAGTGAGGTTTGCTTCATGAACAATTGCAATGAATTAAAGATCTATTTTAAGTAAAATTAATAAAATGAGATATCAACTTTTTTACTTGCACAATAATTTATTTGTAAAGTTTAAAAATTACAAGTTAAAAGAAACTTTCAAAACTCTTCATGTTTCAGTGGAAATAATTCCACCATCTTCAGGAGAATAAATCATGAAGTACACATGAAGTTTTATATAAACCTAATGTACGTGTATAATTAGAATGTTTTTACAATGGCGCCATTTACAGCAATGATTTCCAAATGTTTACTTCTGTGGTTCCTGGGCCTAAATATCTATTTATATTCATTTTGTTTGTAACAATTTCTAAGGATTCTCTTATATTTAGTTCATATTTTTCCGTTACCTGTTTAAGTATTTTTACATTATCCCAGTCAATAACGTGTAGGATTCGCCACATGTTCTGCCATAGCCGATTCACCCATTTTTTTTAATGTATCCACTGCATTTTGATGTTCTTTTACTCTAAATTTTAAGTTCCTACTTGTCTGTCCAATATAACTTGGAACACAAGTACATGAAATTTTATATATATACCACATTTATCCATTAATTCAATTTTATTTTTCAAACCTTAATTATGTGACTTAATTTTAATTGAGGAGTAAATGTTACTTGGCAATTCATATTTTGTCTAAACATATTACCTACTTTTATTGACCATGGTGAAACATGAGACAAACATATTCTTTCTATACTTTCCATTTTTGTTATCTGCAATTAAGTACATCCAGAAATTTGAAGTTTGTTACAATATTTACTGTATATCCTATCTATGATTTGAG